CACTAGAGAATGATATTTTTCTGCATGTACTTGCGTATACACAAACAATAAACGGCGGTGTCATACAGATGATTCTTAAGTCGAGAAATAATTTTTTAACATTTTTGTGGCAAGGAATTGATAAAATGCTATCATTTTCACATCACCTTGCGGTAGATAGCATGGCGCATTTTTTCTAAAGTGGTATCCCCAGTAGGTCTAATCCACTCTTGCATTTTAATGCAAGAATTGTTGGAAGTGCCTTCCTCGTTATTCTCGCAAACAGAGTTCGGCTCTTCGAGTAATGTTGCGCGTCGCGCGGTGCGCCATTTCTGGCGTAATGGTATTGAAAGCTGCGAGAATTGCTTCTCGTGCCTCAGCTTCAGTACCATCACGAATATGCTCGACTAAATCTTTGACGTAACCCCAAACGAAATAATCGAGTACGTTAAGATCTGGCGACCGCGCCGGCCAAATGATTGGGCCACCTCGACCCATCCACCTGTCCGGATAGCGCGTATCTAATACATCGCGTACCAACCGCGAGAAATGCGCGGAAGCCCCGTCGTGTTGGAAAATGAGTTCCTCTCGTTCACGAAGAGGAACGTCTTCGAGAAGGATCGGCAACTTATTTTCCAAGAAGCTAGCGTATTGTCCCGTTAAACGTGGCGGGAAAAAGAAGAGACCGATCTAAAAGTTATTACAAAAGTGTGATTTTAAAAAGTACGAGAGAGAGAGAGTAAGAGAGAGAGAGAGAGAGAGAGAGAAAGAAAGAGAAAATTTCTAATCATAAACATGTTACTACTTACGACTCGATTCGCTACCACTCCTGCCCACACATTTATCGACCAGCGATATTGGAACGCACCTTGGCGTACAGAGTGCGGATTTTCATCTGCCCAAATCAAATTATTGCGGGAGTTGAATACGCCATTCGGTGTGAAGGTTGCTTCGTCCGTCCACAGGATGCGGTCGGGGAAAAGAACATTCCGCCGACACTGCGCGAGCAATCCTACGTTACATTTCGCCGACAATTAATATTAGTTGAAAACAGCGAGAAGATTTTACAAAACCAATAAAAATACCTTCACAAAAATAGATGCGTGGCTCTTGATCTCGAGCAAGAAGTTGCTGCACTCGCTGGAAATGGTACGGATGAAGTCCGTTACGGCGTAGAGCACGGTGCACCGTATTTCTTGAGAGACCGAGCGTATGAGCGACACGACGTATGCTGCTTCTAGGATTCTCTTCAAACGCTCGCAGAATTCTCTCCTCAGCATCCACGCGAATATTTATTATTCCTTCGTGTCGTCGATTTTGCAACACTGATCCCGTCTGTCGAAAACGATGAATGCATCTCAAAATAGTATGCACGCCTGGATGTTGTTCGCGTTCGGGAAATCGTTCCGCGTAGAGGCGGGCGGCGGCAAGAGCGTTGTTCATTTGTTATCATCTTCATTTGTTTTCTCACAACAGTCCATCGTTGGCACTGTTAAGTCGTCCAGTCTATCTAGACGTGTTTGTCTTGACGTGCGTGCGGTCCAAGATATTGCGTTTACTTAACGAAAATGGCAAATTATAGTATGCGAGAGTATACCGACATGGTAATCATGTACGGTGTAGCTGGAGAAAACGCTCTTGCCGCCGCCCGCCTCTACGCGGAACGATTTCCCGAACGCGAACAACATCCAGGCGTGCATACTATTTTGAGATGCATTCATCGTTTTCGACAGACGAGATCAGTGTTGCAAAATCGACGATACGAAGGTATAATAAATATTCGCGTGGATGCTGAGGAGAGAATTCTGCGAGCGTTTGAAGAGAATCCTAGAAGCAGCATACGTCGTGTCGGTCATACGCTCGGTCTCCCAAGAAATACGGTGCACCGTGCTCTACGCCGTAACGGACTTCATCCGTACCATTTCCAGCGAGTGCAGCAACTTCTTGCTCGAGATCAAGAGCCACGCATCTATTTTTGTGAAGGTATTTTTATTGGTTTTGTAAAATCTTCTCGCTGTTTTCAACTAATATTAATTGTCGGCGAAATGTAACGTAGGATTGCTCGCGCAGTGTCGGCTGAATGTTCTTTTCCCCGACCGCATCCTGTGGACGGACGAAGCAACCTTCACACCGAATGACGTATTCAACTCCCGCAATAATTTGATTTGGACAGATGAAAATCCGCACTCTGTACGCCAAGGTGCGTTCCAACATCGCTGGTCGATAAATGTGTGGGCAGGAGTGGTAGCGAATCGAGTCGTAAGTAGTAACATGTTTATGACTAGAAATTTTCTCTTTCTTTCTCTCTCTCTCTCTCTCTCTCTCTCTCTCTCTCTCGTACTTTTTAAAATCACACTTTTGTAATAACTTTTAGATCGGTCCCTTCTTTTTCCCGCCACGTTTAACGGGACAATACGCTGGCTTCTTGGAAAATGAGTTGCCGATCCTTCTCGAAGACGTTCCTCTTCGTGAACGAGAGGAACTCATTTTCCAACACGACGGGGCTCCCGCGCATTTCTCGCGGCTGGTACGCGATGTATTAGATACGCGCTATCCGGACAGGTGGATGGGTCGAGGTGGCCCAATAATTTGGCCGGCGCGGTCGCCAGATCTTAACGTACTCGATTATTTCGTTTGGGGTTACGTCAAATATTTTGTCGAGCATATTCGTGATGGTACTGAAGCTGAGGCACGAGAAGCAATTCTCGCAGCTTTCAATACTATTACGCCAGAAATGGCGCACCGCGCGACGCGCAACATTACTCGAAGAGCCGAACTCTGTTTGCGAGAATAACGAGGAAGGCACTTCCAACAATTCTTGCATTAAAATGCAAGAATGGAGTAGACCTACTGGGGATACCACTTTAGAAAAACTGCGCCATGCTATCTACCGCAAGGTGATGTGGAAATGATAGCATTTTATCAATTCCTTGCCACAAAAATGTTAAAACATTATTTCTCGACTTAAGAATCATCTGTATGACATCGCCGTTTATTGTTTGTGTATACGCAAGTACATGCAGAAAAATATCATTCTCTAGTGCTAAGAGAAGACGTAGTTTTCATTTTTCTTTTTTTGAGTAACGATCATTTTTATAAAAGATATCTTGATAAAATATGTGTAATTTAAAAACACGAATTATTTACTTGAAATAAGCATATTTATGTAATATCTTTTGTATGTAATACGCGCACGCTTTAGAACTGTGTTCTCAAAAAATTCTCGATCATTTCCCAATTTTCGCAGTCGAGATAATATTAATTTCTAAAGCGCCGAATATCCACCATCGATACTTTGGGGAGTGGGGAATGGGGACTGCCTTGCACACCGCCGCGCACCGCGAGCTCCAAACGTCGTGACTCAGCCAGCGGCGCGCTTGCCACGCAATCTCCGCTCTCCGCGGTCCACGCGCCGTTGAACTATCATGGGCGTACACTGTTGGCAGTAGTAGGCCGGGCGGACGCACGTATTCGGTAATTTTTACCAATTATTATCTCGTTAACTATTACGAAAATTGCAAAACGGTAGAGGACTTTTCGACTCAGTTCAGTCCGCTCTACCTGTTCGTGTAATTTTTGATACTCTTTCTGGGACACCCTGTATATAACTGTATATAATATATTTCCTTAATTATATATAATTATATTTGTCATTGTCTCTTATTTTATATAATTTTATATAATTACATATGAAACATTTTTTCCCAGAAACTTACAGTAAAATGTATGTGATTCAATATATTCAATGTACAAGTCAAACTTTAACAATTAAACTATATGCCGTATGTGTTACAGAACTATAGAAGCTTCATTTCATTCTATACATAAAATGCATGTTTTATCTTATTTATCAATATTAATATCAATTTAATGTCTATTTTAAGTTTAAAGGAATTAAAAGCAAGGTATCTAAAGTGACGATTTGTCAAAAAAAAACAGATCTCCCGACTATCATGAAATATTAGAAAACAATCTTATAAAACACAGGATTCTTTTAAGCAAGATGACTTTATTATTATTGCCTCCGCTATTAGAATCTTGTGAAATATAATGGTAAAATTAACGCTGATCCCTATATGGCCTATTGATTTTGTTTAGAAAATTGTTCTTTTACTGTTGAAGTACGTATTTATGATCCACTGCAGGTAGTATATCTGAATTTAAGTACAATGTATGAATTAAAATATAATGTGCAATGTCTTAAATTGAATTTTTATTTGCATATAAAATTATTCGTGAAAATACGCATATATTAAACACACATAGGCCGGTATTCATAGTCGGTTCTTATTTCAAGACTGCCTTAAGTAATGTCTTAAGTGGCTCTTTGATTGGTTCGTAACTCTTCAAGACTGAACTTAAGACGGTCTTGAATATAAGAACTGACTATGAATACCATAGTTTATTATTCTATTGGTATTGGAAAGTGTATTCATGGAAAAAAAGAATTAGATCTGCTGACCATATCCGTTTCAACAGATTTGGTCAAATCTGCAAATTGTATCTATCTGGCCAGATCTGAAGATATAACCAGATCTGTTGCGGGATTCTCTAAACGTTTTATCGATGATTGTCGCTATCGTTAACTAGCGGCAGCCAATGACAGGACAATCCCAAAAAAAAGCGCGGCTCTCATTGGCTGTCGCTAGTTAACGATTACAACAATTATCGAAAAAACGTTTAGAGAATCCCGCAACTAATCTCGGTAAAAAATTTTGGTGTATAAATCATGGAGGTATAGTTGACTAATTAATATAGTACAATTAACGTTTTGACGATTTCACTATTTCTTTATTCAGTAACTATAAACTAATGTATAATTATTCTTGGAATGATATGTAAGAACTTGTTTTAAGAATTTCTTCTAGTTTCTAAGAGTAAAGTGAAAAACGTTTTGAGTATTTCTTCCGCAAATTGGCAGTTAATTTTGTCAACAATATATAAAATTTATAATATAGAGAAACAGGGCAATGAGCCAATAAAATCGTTAAAATATTTTTAAATTAATCTATTATATTGCGAAGAATATCACATAACAATGGCGTTTCGCCCTAGCTTCCACTACTGGACGTATCAGTAAGGCATTGTAGTGGAAGCCTACCTTATATAAGTCTTGGCAACGTACAATTTGTGACTAATTAATGAAATGTAATAAATGTTTTTACGACTATTTTTTATTGTGAATAAACATACATATATATCAAGCGACGCGGTAGCGTCGCGACGCCAAGTGCATAAAATAAAAATATAACCGTTTGACTGCTTGACATGATCGCTTGACTTGATTGATGCGTGTATATGTTCATGTCGCTGTCAAATTCACGACGCTACCACTAGCTTTATCTCGAGTTTTCACATCTTCAAACTTTAGATTAAAATTACTCAGAATATAAAAGCCCAATCAAAAATCTAAAAACACTTTTATTACATAATGTCATTGGTATCTTTCGATTGCGACCAGTTCGAATAAAATTGGTGCAGCCGAGATCTAGAGATCGAGTCCCGAAAAGGGACCGTTTCAGTTATTTCAGAAGACATACGTGTGACACATACATGTATTTTTTAATCGTATGTGTGACACATACATGTAAACCGGTTTGTCCATTAGGCTGCTGTTCACAATGTCTACATTCAAAAAACAGTCATCATATGTGATTAAGCTGCTGTTCCTAATAAAAATGTAAAAATTCAATTTAATTATTAATTAAATAAATAAATAAATAATTAA